CTTAAAATGGTAGGAGTTTTCATTGATCTGTTGTCTTCTAAAATATTTTTTCCTCTTCCCAAGCATTCAGAAGCCTCAGTCTTACTGCTTTCCTCCAACAACATGAACTCTCTTTAGCCTGCCCATTCACATTAAACAGATGGGGCCCTATCAGTGACTCGTAGGAGCAACTCCCAGAGGGCATATAATCGTATCACTGCATATTTCTCCTATAGACAATGGCAGTTCCTGTAGGTCCTCTCCCCCGATGAATGTGTTATATGCACAGATTTCAGTCCTGAATTGTTTTAGCAATGGGAGTCATCTGACAGCCAACAGTTACTATGATATCTGGACTATAAGAGCTTTCAGGAGACCACACTGTAACTGCATTTACTCCAGAGAGATTTTAATATGAGGTTTTAATGTCTTTCTATCACCGCTGATGAAGGAAAAAAAACACTATGAAATCTACAACGTACATTTTAAGATGCAAAACTAGGCTATTTTCATTTCAAGATCTATGAGAAAAGATCTTTTGAAAGTGCAATCTGCATTCCTACTAAGAAAAAGAGTGTCTTCTGTGATAAATGTAGTGCATCATGGTAAATACTAAATGTTTTCTTTTATGAATCACAGGATACTCCTGGACAGCACAGTAATCTCTTCCTTATACAACTGGCTCATGACCCTGAAAGTAAATTCATACTGGCAGACTCAGCCACCTCGCGTTAAGCCCTTCTAACTTCTCTGAAATCCACACAGCAGCTGGGTTTGCCCAGGTAGAATGAATCACAGTATCAGTGCATTTGTCTGTGAGGCCTCTGGTGCAGGTTTTCATCCGTGTTTGCACAAAGCCTTACACAGAGAGACCTCAAGCCTGACTGGCTCCATGGGATATGAATGCAATGGAATTAATTTATTTTCTCAAATCATTGAGTTTCGGCTTTGGAAATACTGAAGTGCCAGAATGTTATAAGAACTGACGCCTCCACCTTTAGAATAATTACCATGTTAGATTTTTCAAAAGAAAAGTGTGATACCTTCATAGCTGAGTGGTCACGGACATGAAAAGGCACAAAGAAAATCTGATTTAGGATGCTACTGTAAAGACATACAGACTGACCGCTCTTTTTTGGGGTTGTTGGATAAGAACATGCAAACATCAACTTGATGCACAGGATTTTTCTCAGAGGAGTCCTGTATGTGCTGTCTCCCTGCCTCAGCAGGCTCTTGAGTGCTGCGTGTGTTATGGCAGTGCCACAGCCAGCTCCAGAGGGACAGCTTCCCCACAAGGGAGCTCAGGCAGGACGGCAGATCAATGCAGCGCTGCCGTGAAGTGCAGTCTAAGAAACTGGAAAGGGAGTGGGAAGGGCAGAAATTTAAGATGTAGCTTTGAAACAGGAGTCTGCTGGAAACCAGCAATAGAAAAGGGATTTTCTCTCTGCACTTACATACGGACGAGAGTTTGAAGAGGAAGAACAAGAGAAGAGTAACTCGGGGGAAAGACTGGACCTCCATTTCTCTTTTACAATTACCTCAATTACAAACATATTCTGGATTTGATTTAAAAGTCTTTGGTCCTCCAGCAGCCTTTACCTCTAAAAACATGTAAGTTACCAAAGCATCACATACTTAATGAAGAAGAAGATAATTGAGTACAGATTCCACCTATTTTAATAAGAGGAAATTTGCAAAGAAGATAGTTGGAAAGGGTACACTTTTACAACAGTAAGAGTGTATAGAGCTGCCTTAAAAGATAAGAAATAGCAGTGCTGCAAGAAAAAACTTTAGGTTCAGCATCAGTGTACATTTTTTTCATAAATGTCCTGGCTTTGCCTACGACTGTTATGTAGTATGTCATTACGTGAGGTAATGACCCATTAGGATTTCCTGTTAAAAGTGCCTCTACTCAAAAGTTTCACATAGCTTTGAAAATAAATGTTGACCTCCGAGGCAGTATAAAAGACGATAACCCAGCAGCTCAGCTGTGAGCGAAAGTGGGCAGAAAAAGCATCGCATCCTTCTTACCCTTAGAAGAAGCGAACTTTTTAAAAAGAAGTACAAGGATATCCATGGGGATGAATAAAACAGGCATCGTGGTAGACAGAAAAAGCAAATAGCTGGATGTGGATGTAGGCGTGGAATGGAAATGAGGTAGGAAGATATATAAAGAAGAACCTTAAGGAAGGACAAGGGTAACATAAAGAAAGGAAATAAGAAGAAGAACAGATAATGTAGCACAAAAGTAAGTAAGAGAGATGGGGAAGAAGGGGGAGGCTAATAGGAAAGGAAAAGAGAAAAAGGCACGCAGTTTGCCAAATTAAGAAGCTGAACAAGAAAGGGCAGTAGGGTAAGAAAGGTGGACATGGAATTAAGGGGAAAAGGAGAACGTGTGCAGAAAAAGTAAAATGGAACAAATGAAGGAGAAAAAGAATAAGGAAAGATGAAGCAAACACTCACCGAGGCACGTGCTGTATTTACATTGATTACCAGTTATACAGGAGACTACTGCAGGTTTGGAAAGGTATTTTGAATATTTGTATTAGCAATTGTTGGATACTCTGGATTCCATAGTTTACAAGGCAAAAGTGCAAACAGATGGCTCAAAAAGTTTAATAGAAGAGAGGTAACAACAAACCTGCAAACTCCTCATTATTTGGAATCCACTACAAAAAAACCCTACTGGATGAAATGCTGTCCACAGATCCCAAACCAAGCGAATTGACCCTGCTTCCCTTGTCGAGGAGGCTGAGGTTAGTCCTACAAACTACCTTTCAGTTAAGATCAGGGTGAACTTGGAGCTGGCCCTCCCCTGAACACAGGTCTCTATCAACAGGTTTCTTCAAAATCAGTAAATGTCATTCTGAATTATTGTATAAATTTTTATCAACTATTCTTCCGCATCCGGTGGGAATAGCAGCACAGCCTGACGTTTGGAAGGAATGATCAACTTAATTTGTGTCTAAACCTCCTAAGTCCAGATAATAAGTAACAACGTTCAGAGTAAGCTGCTGCAGATTCCCCCAGAACTGCAACACATCTTAGCAGAGGAGACTTTGGATAATTAAAGTGTATGTGGCTTGAGGGAAGACTGAGACATACCACTAAAAAAAGCTCTAAAAATGCTAAGGCTTAAATCATAAAAACATTTCTGACCTTTAGCACCACTGATAACGAGTCCCAGCTCTGCACAGACCGACACGCAGACAACTTCATGGTCATGACCAGTTAGAACAGCGCGAGGGGCAGGATAATCACCTGTTAAAAAAAAAAAAAAAAAGACACAAAAAGAAAAACAAAAAAAGGAACCAACAGAGAAGTGCCAAACCAGCCCTGTTTTATCAACAGAATAATTTTGCTGTGATTTGCCTTAAATCAGTAAACATCAGAGAGGTGCAGTGGGCTTAAATATCTCATACTTTGGTTTCTGGACAAAATACATTCATAAGCACAGCTTCCCAATGCATTAATGAACAAATACATTAACAAAAAGCAAACTTCTTTGGTTTAGAAATTATGGATGGTGTGTTGTTTACAATAAACAAATGATAACAATACATCGCTGTTTTATGACCTAAAAATACTGAAAATGTATATTTCAGACAGAGAACACAAAATGTGGTGGTATTAAAAGCAGCTGTAATGTAAAGGTCTGCTATTGAACACATAGGTCTCAACTTCTACTAGCATGAGTTGAGGATGTTCCTATATTAATGATCATAAATTGTTTCACAAAACTGGGGGCAGGAAAAGAAGAGGAGAAAGAGCACTGTACTAGAAAGATAATTCTGTTGCATAGACATTGATACAGAGACACACTGAATGCTTACAGATTAAAATTGTACCTAAAAATGCTTATGGGTATACATCATTTTATATCTATCACTTTGGATACCTATGCCATTTTTAATACATTTAATTTATTAAAGAGTAGGATAGAGTACTCCTTAAATATTTATTTTTTATTTTCAGGAGTGAAATGTATTTTATTTTGGGTTCAAACAAGTGGGCATTTATGGAGTGTTTATATGACAAACAGCAATATTTCTGTTGTTTCTAATAATAACAGATGCTGACATCTTAACAGTGAAACTCCTCTGTGCAGTAAGGAATTGCTCAGTATTTGATATTGCTTTGCCAGGCAAAGAAAGTTAATCAGTAATAAAAAATTAGCAACTTGCTAGATAACACAGATTTCATCTGGTTATATTTACTTTGTACAAATGAAATATAGAAAATAGGGAAATTGCAAGGGACTGGAGCTCTGCCAGTATAGTTCAAATACTTAAAAAAGATAAAAGAAATTACCTAGGGAACTACAGATGAATTACTGTAACATTAATATAATGCAAAATAACAAAATGGTTAATCCACAGTTCTGTCAATAAAGAATTGGAAGCAAAAATCTCATTAATGCCAGTCACCATGCTGTACTGGAATGGGAGTCTTGTCAAGCAAGCTTCTTATCTGTTTTTGACAAGATGACAGGTACAGTTGATAAAGATGGCTATGTTAAAATGGACTCTATGTCTTTTTTTCAAGATATTTGTCTTAGTAATACAATGTTTTGATTTAAACCTGTTTTATGTAGAACTGTGGACAACATGGATGGCACAGAAGCTGGTTCAATGACAGATCTTCTGTCTGTAGGTATCTACTGTGAGCTACATATTAGGATATTGGAAATCAGGGTGTCCAATTTGGAGATGGGAATTGATTCTTGATCAAAAACTAACCAGTAACATTACCTACAGGAGAATAAAAAATCTTTGCTGGGAAGAAATGGTTGGATATAAAACTGATACAAAGATTCATGGGCAACTGTATAATGAAGAGAGAAAGTAATTATTATAACATTTTCTGCATTGACTAGTTAAATAAAAAAAGGTAGAAAAATGTCTTTTATTTATTTTATTTATTTTGAATGCAGCCAAGTGGAAAGTTGACGCTCCTGGACAAGCACAAGCTCTGCTCACTGGAGAGAAGATTCCATTCTGGAAGGCAGTGAGACAGAGAAGGATTTATGGATCCAGAAAGAAAAACTCCCTCAACGTTAACGTTCAATGCAATCCCGTAGAATGGCAAATAGGAGACAAGAACTATCTTGCCACTGTAGGCCAGAAAGATTAAAGTTTTGTACCCACATTTACAGAAACGAGCTCAAAGGAGGGTCACACAACTGATATAGAGAATAAGACAGGAGGCTGCACAGTGTTTAAAGTGTTTTCTCTCTTCACTGCACAGGCAGCAAAGCAGTGACTTGACCACCGTAGCTGGGAGTCACAGGCATAAAAGATGTCCAGTAGCCCAGAAATTTATCTTGCAGCTAATGGCACAGCGAGGTCCAATGGGTGAATGGCTGCACACATTTCAACCCTGCAATGAAATGCAGTTTCCTAACTGGAAAAACAGTTAAACACTGAAAAAAAAAAAAATAAAAAGGAAACTACCTCAGTAGCTAAGAAATATTACATGGGTTTCTGAAAGATATGCATTAGGAATGGAGGCTTGGATAGACTTTTGTGGGTCAATGAATTTAGTCTTTTTTATTGCAGACACTCACATCATATAATCCTGTTAATAAATTAATGAAATGGCTATCTGGGAATGTGGCTTGGAAGGATATTCCAGAACTTTCCTACTCTAAAGGAGAGCAAAATTCTGATTTTCAATCTGCGTTTATTCCTGTCTACCTTGTATCTCCTTGTTCTTGTGTCAGCACTGTCCTTTAGCTTCAGGTCCTCTCCCTCTGTTGTCTTTTCCCCACTCGTGTACTTACAGAATAAATCAGCCCTCTCGGTCTTTCCTTTTGACTTTGTTAAACAAACCAAACTCTTATAAACTCCTTTGAAGTGATGAGCTCGCCATTTTTTGGTCATTGTAGCAACACATTTCTGTGCCACTCTGGCTCCAAGTTCTTTCTTAAAATTTGGGTAGCCAGAACTGTATATGACAATAGTTGAAAATTTAGCATGAATCTACAATATTTCTTGCCAAACCCTAACATTTTACTGTCTTTGTGAACCAGCTGAGAACTACCAACCATGGATTTGAGGACTTCAGTTTTGGACCCAATAGTAGAGGGTCGGCAATCTACTTGGTTATATCATTGCATTGTACAAACACATTAACACTTTCCTATCTCTAATGAAAACAACTACCCAAATAAATCCTAGTTTTCCAATCGTTAATCTAGCCTGCAAGAAAAGAATAGTTCTGGTTTAGAAACCGAAGATGTAAACTGAAAACTGGGCTTTACTGCTAGGGAAGGACGGATGTTGGAAGAAACAGAGAAAGACGCTTTGTGTATATCATCAAAGATTAGCTATATTTTGAGATTCAGATTTTTATACTTTCCACATCATTGTTGCTATTGAGAACTCCATCTCCTTTAGAGGTTTTCTTTTCTCCAAGGGCATACCAGAAAAGCGATAAAAACCTGCAAGTCAACTAAATTCAGAATTTTCCACTTTTTTTTTTTTTTTTTCTTCTGTATGTCCTCCTGGAAAAAAAAGGAATTATGCTCAAGAGTCATCTTGGCTTAAGATCTGATTACAGAGGTGTACACAGTAGTGTCATCAGACTGCAAGGGCGAATGACTAAAATTATTAGATGGTTAGAAATTTTTTTAAGGGAAAAGAAATAATGCAATTTTCCAAAGGACATTTTCCTCTGTGTTTCCTAGGAAAACACTATAATACCATGAAACTCTAAAATGTCAGAATATGAAAAATAAGCATATTTAATTGCTTAGAAGAATTGTTTATAAGAAAATGCTTATAAGAAAAAACTGCCCTGAAACATAGATCTTTGAGTCCTGTTTTTCAGTAAATACAAATTAATAATGGAATATCATTATTAGGAGTCACAGTCCAACAGCAATTGAAAATGGGATTTCTCCCCTTAGGGCTCAAAGAAAAAATTATTCAGTGATACTTTCTGCAGAAAAAGCTGTGGCATGGGGAAGAGAATCTCAGCCATATTACATTTTATTGCTAAGGACAGAAGTTGTGAACTCCAGGAATCATTCAAAATCTAGCAAAATATTCTGTCACTGTCACATCACCACTGATAGATGCAGCCAGAGGTCAAAGGCTGCAGCTCTGAGGGAATTGCAGGTGAAAATATCCTACCTATGAACTAAGATACCATCACTGTAAACTCCCCTGTAATTTCCCCAAAGGAGCACCTTTGAACTGAATTACTAGAGGGCAGAAGGAAAAATAAATCTGCTTTGTATTTCCAAACAAGTAAGTTTTTCTACAAAGTATAAAATAAAGTACATCTTTTCTTCTCTTTGAAAAATATAATGCTTAATACTGTTACAAGGTTCTTCTGGAATAAATGGTGTTCTCACATGGTAAGGAAAAAAAAAGATGAAGAAAAGAAAGAAAACAGATAGTGTTACTATTTCTCTGATATTGTCCTTTTCCAGAAATTATGTACAGATTGCTACTTTTGAGGTGATACTTGTCAGAAAAAAAATCTTAGAAAATACTATGGCTTTCATTGAAGTGAAAATGTAACAGCCTTCTTGAATTTTTACTGTCAGAAAAAAAATATATCTTGGAGTTTGATGAAAAGGTAAGACTACAACCAGTAAATAGGAATATTTCAAAATAGAAAATAGCCAATAACAGTGTCCACAACATGAGGGAGAAGTGGTTGTAAAAGAAAGATTGCTGACAGAAAAATATTCATATATTCAAAATATTTTCACCTCTGGCAGAACTGGTTTATTTGCTGAGGAATGTGAGCAGCATTGTATATATCTACTAACAATGCACCCAGGTGAATGGACTTTCAGGTGCTTTGCACCTGTCCAGACCCCAAAAGGAAAAATATAGTGGAGGAGAGGAAAGTAAGGATTTGCAGCTTCTCTTCCTATTTCTTCCACTAAATCACTTTGAGAACTTTGAACCGCCCCGCGCTGTACAGCTCCCACAGGGTATGCAGCAAAGCACAGGTACAGATATCTATTGATAAAACACTAGCTATAACTGCATTATTTCAGGTGTCTTAGTGCCTCATTTACCTTTGCGTAGCAGTCTTAGGAAAGACAAGTCTTTGGCTACCAAAGTAGAGACGTGCCAGTAAAAATTACACACTAGATTTCAAAGAGCTTCTACTCTGGCAGAACAGTGCTAAGATACCATATTTTTAAAAAAAAATACCTAAAATGTACAAACATATAAGTACCATAATAATTCTTTCAAGAGGCAAAGCAGATTGCATGTGTGCCCATGTGCTTGCGCAGG